AAGAGGGGAGATTGAGGTGAGACATGAGGAGGAAATTCTTTGTTGTGAGGGTGGTGAGAGCCTGGCCCAGGTTGCCCAGAGAAGCTGTGGCTGCCCCATCCCTGGCAGTGTTGAAGGGCAGGTTGGATGGGGCTTGGAGCAGCCTGGGCTGATGGGAGGTGTCCCTGCCCATGCAGGGGGTTGGAATTAGATGGTCATTAAGGTCCCTTCCATCCCAAACCATTCCAAGCTTCTCTGACTCTGTTTCTTGTCGTGGTTGTTGGTTACAAATCATGCAGAACAGGAAGGCTCCACCTCCCAGGCAAACAAGATTTCCTCACCCTTGAGGAACATTTCATTAAGATCTTAGTAAATTGAATAACAAGGCATTTTTAAAGGAGCATTTTCACAAACAGGCTGGAGTTCCTAATGAAGTGTTTGAATTCCCCCTTGACATCTGGTTTCCTTTACAGTGTGGGGGCCTAGAAAAACCATCTGAATTATTCCTCCTGTTGCTTTGCCATTTGACTCCAAATATTTCATTTCAAGGCTCACGTATAATTACCCACCTAATAAAAGGAGCTATTAGGTTGTCAAGATCCTATCCTTTCCATGCTCTTTGAAAATTATGACCCACTCAAGCTTGAAATCAAAGGCAGAGCTGAATGGAATAATTCATCTGGAACCCCCCTATTGGGCTGTGCAGCCTCCTAACTGATAAATATGCAAATCAGCTGCCTTTTGGTGAGCCAGCTGCATCAACAGGGATTAATGCTGAATGCAGCTGAACATTTAGCAATAAAACTTAGGCACACAAAATTTGGGCAATTCAACCAGTTTGTTCTTGTCAATAAACACTGTGATGTGGAACCAAAGCACCTGGACGAGGAGGGGGGGGGATCCCTGAAGAGGGCTCGTGGTGTCCTGCTCCTCCTTGCTTGGGGTGCTCCTGGAATACCAGGAAACCTTGTGGAAATGGTGTGGAAAAGCCCTCCTAGTTCATTTAGCAGTTATTTATTGTGGTTCTTCTCCCAGGCTCGTGTCCTGCACCAGCTTCTGCTGCCCCTTTGACCTCCTCAACCTCTGCCCATCCTCATCCTAAGTGGACAGGTCTTCCCAGCAGGGGCACAGCAGATGGGAAAGGGGTGGGGAAACTTCAGCTCTGGTTTTCTCCTTGCTCCAGCTCATGGTGGCCCTTCTTCCCCCAGTGTCACCCAGACAAACAGACGCGTTTCATCCCAAGCTTCAGCAGGTCATGACGGAGAAGATCCTGCATGTCATGTCCTCTTGCTTGCAGGGCTGCACTGCCTGGCAGCCCCACTGACCTTCTGCTGTGTCTTCTCCTCCATTCCTGGCTCTCTGGTTGCCACACACACGACACGAGCTACGGGAGGATTTGCAAACACTTGGCAGACTGGCTGAGTTTGGGAGCTGATCCCACCCCCCGCGCGAGGCGAGCGATGGAGGTGGCAACAGGAATGAGTCCCTTGTCTTGTCACCTTGTGCTGTTGGGGAAACTTCCACTTTTTTTGTTTGTCATTTCTGGTGTGGTGGCATCATTCGTTGCTACGGGTGTTTTTCTAGTCAAGTCATTTTGAATTTCAAAAAGCAAACACAACAACCAACCAAGCAACCAACCAACCGACGAGTGACCTACAACACTGTCTCATTAAGGGCCTGGTCTATGTTTCAAAACATTCTGGCATGAGGTAAGACTAGAGCTAGACAAAGAGCTACAAACCTCTACGGAGTCAAACATGAGTTAGTCGTGACAACTTGAGCTCTACGAAGACTAGTAGATCACAATGAGCCATCTGGTGGCATCAGCTAGGACTTGGCAGTGATGACCTTGCCATGCTTCCAGCCCTCGAGATGCCAGAGCTCCAGTTCTGTGACATTGCTCTTAGGGTTCTTTCTCTTCTCTTCTTTTGATCATTCCTTGGAGGACGTTGCAGGGATCTTCCTTGCAGTGAAGGTACCAGCAACAGGATGGTGTTGGGGGGGTGGTGTGGGCAGGTGGTAGGAGTGC